TTTCGAAAGTAGGTGTAATTTACAAATCTTATAAATTTGGCTTTTAAATAGAATTTTTTAATGGTTAGGTTGAGAGAGAGTTACTATTATTCTTATTTCATATTAAGATATAGCACAAGTAGACTATGTGGAAATAATCTTTTTTAATAATTATTTTATAAATTGCACAACACCTCCTCCCAATGTTTATTATTTCAATATTTAATGATGAATTATTGTCTTTCAAACTATAAAAAAATTTGAAACTATACAAAAAAAACATCATATGAAGAAACAAAGGGTATTATCCCTACTCAACCCCACTCACATCACGCTTTTATGTACTTATTTCTACTAATACACATTATCAAGTAGTTATTCTTATATAGATTTATAGGTATCAGTAATAGGGTTCTACTCAAAAATCCTGAAAGACAATTAGCCAGCATTAGTCATAATGCTTGCTAATTTAGTCAGTATTATATCTTTTCAGGAAAATGGCCTTTGAGATTTTAGGGTAGAATAGTATTAGTTATATCCTGGGTGGGCAGAAATATGTTGAGTCTTATTTCTATTTTAAAAAAAAAGTATAAATTGTTAAAGTAGCTTAAATTACTTGATTCAATTAGGTATAATAATCTTAATAAACTAATTATATGATAGGCTAGAATAAAATCGAATTAAAATGAAGTATTGTACAATGTAAAAATAGATATGCTACTGAAAAATAAAATTTTGAGGTGCATTAAGAATTAAGGTTAGAGGTTAGTTTTTAGGATAGAGTTTATAGTAAACAAGTATAAGAAGATTCTAGAGGGTTAGATAGAAACCCTCTTAAATTATAATAAATTATCAAATTTAAAATATAAAATTTAATTTAAAGATATGTTTGTTTTTTATTGAAACTATATTTGCTTTTTTATATAATATATTAACTTGAAATTTGAAAATATGGGGTCTTTGTCTTGAAAATAACCTTACGGGGTTATGTAGATTTTATGAATAAAAATTAAAATTTCTAGCTATCCAGTAATTAAATTAAAATAAACTTTTTTATTTTATTTTATAGAGCTTAGCAAGTTCTACAAAATAAAATAAAAAAATTTTTTGAATTGGATTATTAGATAGAAAGAAATTTTAATAAAATCTACATAGTTCTGTAAGGTCATTTTCAAGACAAAGATCCCATATATCTCTAGTAAAAAAAATCTATTAATTATATAAGCAATTAGAAATTTGCTTATTATAAAATTTAAAATAACCAATAAATTTAATTTAATATTATATGTAAGTAAACTATTTAGTCTATTTATCTATTTTTAATTTAGAATTTGAATAATGTATTTGTCAAAATATATTCCCTGGTTATTTGAACTGGGTGCTGTTATAGCACAGAAAAAGATTTTTATGTAACAAATACTATAATTATCAATAAGGATAGCTGCGCAATATACGATACCGTGTAGGACCAGTCTGATCACATATAATATGTAAACTTCTAATATACATGAGACTTATGGACAAAAAAAATCTCACAATTCATCAATACAACTAAATCCAAATTTTAAAAAAGTAATAACGTTGTATTAGATGCATTAGAATTATCATGATTTCTACTGTAAAAAATTCCATTACAGACTTATGTGCTATTCCAATAACCACAACATATGGCCAAAATTGTTTAGCTTGCATCTTAATTATTATAATTTCTATGTAATTGAGGTTTAGCTAATTGCATCAGAATTATCATGATTTCTATATGATTAAGGTTATTAGAATTTATCTGAATTATTATAATTTCTACTGTAAAAAACCCTGTTACAGAACTTACTCGCTATTCTGACAACACATGATTGTTTTAGTTCACATAAGTATTATAATTATGATTTCCATGCAATTAAGATTGTGCTAGTTTTCTTCAATGTTATTATGATTTCTATGTGATTAAGGTTGAGTTAGTTTACATTTGAATTATAGTGATTTCTACCATAAAAAATTCTGTAGAGCTTACTCACAGCTTGCATGAGAATCATTTTTATTCAAGGTTGAGTAATTCTTATTTTAATATCTACTATAGATGATTCTTTCACAGAACTTTCTGTTCCAGTGTTCATGTATATGGTCATGGTTAAGTCAGTTGCATCAGAATTATTGTTACAAAAAATTCTGTTACTGAACACACTTACTATTCTATAGATACATTATGTAGTTAAGATTATGTGTTTGCATTGAAATTATAGTTATTCTAATAAATCTTGTCACAGAACTTACTCTCTAATGTAAAATGCACAGTGGTTAAGGTTTAGTTAGTCTTGTATTAAAATTGGCATGATTTTTACTAAAAACGTCCTTATAGAAACTAGTTGTGGTTAAATTTAAGTTAGTTTGCAACTAAATTATTATGATTGCTATATAATTAAGTTGCACTAAAATTATAATTGTAAAAAATTCTGTTATTGAACTTACTCGCTACGACCAGAATATACAGTTAAAATTATCACAGTTATTGCGGTTACTATAAAAAATTCATAAAGCCTACTTGCTATTTTGATTTTTAAAATGAGTGTTGCAAAGCAGGAACCTGGAATGAAGACCTGGAATTGAAATATATTAGTTATAAAATCTTTTTGTGGCATTAAGAGATTAGGTTTACACTTTGCGTTATTTAATCATTCCCACTCTATACTTGATTTAGATATAATACATTAATAATCTACTGTATTTATAAATTATTACGATAAATGTAATATTGATGCAATATAAATATCATCAAAATTTCAACAACGTACATGATATTTTCTAAAATAGGAAAAAAAGATTATCGTTATCATAATATTATACCTTCTAAATTGGAAAATATAGCGTATCAAAAAGTTGAACGGGTACTGTACCAATATTGGTCAATTTGATAATTGGAATCGACAATTAATTAAACTGAACTTCTATTATACTGTTGCCAGCTAGTTCTTTATAAAAATACAAGAATATTTAGCTTGCACACATTAAAATATAAATTTATATAATAATTTTGAATTTTATTTAATTTATAAGTATTTCGTTAAAATGATGTAAATTATATATTATAATTTACTAAATTATTAAATAAATATTATTATTGTTTTAGAACTAATTGATATTGTAAAAAATATATATATTTTTGTAAAATTTGGGTAGCAGTAATGCAAAATAAATAAACTTTGTGGCCTTGACAGTTAGTCTCTTTCTGAATCAAATTCATTGAATGCTAATATGTACTCATTTTTTTCGGTGTCGTGAGTTAGCCCATATACTTTAATTTCGCTATTATTTAACTGTAAATAATCTTTAAACTGTTAAATATTAAAATACATAAATATGAATTTAAATAAAACAATATATAAAGTACGATTGTATGCAATTAAATATTTTAACCTACTTCTTTTAACAAATCTAATAAATTTGATGATCTGTTTAATGATTTAAGCTCCACTTTATACGTTGGTGTACGTGACTGTCTATAATCACCATAGTCATCTTCTTTTATATAACGTATCCCATCTAACCATATTGCCAAAGATCTATCACCAATCATTTGAATATTATCCAATCTATTAAAAGGAATCCATTCGATTGCATCTTTATAGTTTGTAACTTTAAGTTGAAATTCTTTAATACAATTATCGATATCCTTGTTTTCACTTGTCCATCCTTGTGTTGTTAGGTGAGGATCACACGTTTGACACCAAACTAAAGATGTGTTGTATCGGTTGCAATTTGCGCATATTCCATAATTTCTATCCCTTTTGTAACCAAATTCATCAAATACCAGGATATACTCATTTTTTGCAGTGTCATGAGTTAATCCATATATTTTGAGTTCGCTATTATTTAACTGTATATAATCTATAAACTTAAATATTTATAAATATATATAAATAAATATAAGCTAAAATAATGCAATAACAGTACAATATGCAGTTAAAATATTTTAACTTACTTCTTTTAACACATCTGATAAATTCGGTGATCTACTTAATGTTTTAAGCTCCACTTTACATGATGATACACGTAACCGAGTATAACTATATTTATATGCACGTCCATTTTCACTTACATAACGTATTCCATCTAACCAGATTGCTAAAATTCTATTACCAATTTTTTGAATATTATCTAACTTATCAAAAGGAATCCATTCGATTACATTTTCATAAGATATGGTTTTAAGCTGAAGTTCTTTGATACAATTATCGACATCCTTATTTCCGCTTGTCCATCCTTGTGTTATTTTCTGAGGATCACATGTCTGACACCAAGCGAACGATGTATTATTTCGATTGCAACTTTCACACTCTCCATTAATTTCCTTTCTTGCAGAACTAAATTCATCGAATACTAACTTGAATATTTAAAATAAATTAAATTAACCTATATATATTAGTACAATATAGTAATAATTTCAATTTTTAACTTACTTCACTTTGCATATCTTCTAGATTTGGTGATGTTTTATGCTCAAGTTTATATGGTATGTCACTGTCGATTTCGGGAGAGTGAACACATACAATAAGTTAGCTCTAATAGTTGTATTATAAGCTTTAAATTATATGGAGCACGATTATAAACTTATACTCAATAATATTTGAACGGTTTTCAATATCAATACTAAATTAAAAATATTAATCCTAAATTTCCTTTACATATGTGAACATACGAAACCAATATGCATGAGTAAATCACAGAAGTTTGCTCACGGTTTATAAATAAGTAACAACATAAAAATATGAGTTAGGATAGAAACCTTCATTTATATGAGAGGAGTTGCAACTTCAAAGATTTTCAGATTTACGTATAATTTTTGACTGATCAACTTTTTCGTACGTATATGTGTATGTAGTGTGACAATTTCGTACGTGTGTAAACAGTTTTTTTACTGTATGTGGTTTAGATTATAGAACTTTTTTGTCGTAACTTGTAACGTCTTCGCCAGAAAGAAAATTTTTTCATCTATCATTTTATTAATAGATTACGTATAAGAGATTTTACTTAGATTGCGATTTCACTTGTGATGCTATTATTACCTAAAATGTACACTACTCACAACCCTCAGATAGCATATACTTCCTTTTCTATACTACCGATTGATCTTTACATTTCATTGATTAATTTCTCCTCTCATTAATATTTGAGTGCAAGATACCACAACAACGTCTCAACCTCACGTCACTTAATTAAGAATGTAGTGAATATTATTAATTACTTAAATTGGGTTTGTGTAAATTTATCAATCGTAACTAGAGATGCAGGAGAATTAATTCTACAATCGATCTACAATTCTACAATGCAGTACAATCGAGAATTGGTGACCATTAATAAATTTAGTAATTTATAGTTGTTGTATGGGGAATAACCCAGTTACACACGACGGGAGCCCGTGTGTAACTGGGTTATTCATATACCCATACTGTATAATAACTAACTTATTGCACGGTGTCTGTCGTAACAATCTCGTGCCAATAAGTAAATGAAAAAAAACACGGGTTGTCGCATAAGACCCGTACAATAATTCTAGAATTCTACAATTCTACATGCATGACATAGAATTGACGTAATTTCTACAATTCGAATTGCATTCTACGTGTAGAATTGTGTAGAATTGTCGATCATTAAAAGCACATTATGCAGAAAAGTTACATTTTTGATGTACTGTGATTCCTTATAATTTTGCAATTAATTTAGGGGCTTTTTACAGAGAAAAGTCGACTATACTATACTTGTTAGACGAAACCTTTTCCGAATGATGATAAATGACAAAACTTAAAACTAGCAAAGGCAAAGCCCCAAATATAACCATTAGATGAAATCTAGAAATTTCATACTGGCGCAAGTCAAAACTCTTCATTAAAAACTTAAAAGGATGAATTGGTAAAACAGTGGTAAAATTGCGGCAAACCCAAAAATTGATGAAATCAATTTTATCATCATTCGGAAAAAGTTTCGCCTAACAAGTATAGTATAGTCAACTTTTCTTTATAAAAACCCCTAAATTAATTGCAAAATTATAAATTTACATTAGGAATTACATCAAAATCATAACTTTTCTGCATAATGTGCTTTTAATGTTTGACAATTCTACAATTCTGCGTTTGCAGAATTGTAGAGTTGCCGATCCATAATTCTACAAGTGTAGAATTGTAAAATTACTAAAGTTATTAACGATCAATTCTACATTTTGGAATTGTAGAATTATGCCAATTCTACAATGTCATGCATGTAGAATTGTAGAATTGTAGATTGATTTTAGAATTAATTCTACACGTGTGGAATTAATTCTCCTGTATCTCTAATCATAGCGCTAAAAGATTCTTCCAGGTGTTACTCACGCATGTACGGTACATACGTATTCGTACGTATGTGGGTGCATAATCAAATTTACTAATATCAGGAGACTCGCACATAACCTTTGCTAAGGGGTTTTTATAAAGATTAACAAGATAATGCATTGTACTAAAATTATATGTAAAATAAAGAAATTTTATCTCATTATTATTATTATTTTTGCTATAAAAAAACTCAGATATCTAATACAAAGATTATATTTTGTAGTTTTTAATTAATGGCTATTCGATTGCTGTACTAAATTTATTTCCACTATGTACGTAAATCACAACGAATAAGGTCATGAGAATGACGACTTTTTTATGGCGCAACTAGGGTTGCGACTTATCATCAAATTTTATATTTAAAAAAGTACGAGTGCCGTAAACAATAAAAATATTGTAATATATAATTATGTAATGTCTCATTGTAATATAATATCGCAATATTAATCAAATTAATCTATCTTGTGAGAAAATTTGTTAAGCTTTGTTAAACTGAAATTAAAGCTTTATATGTATATCAATATATAACACAATAAATTCACAACCTTATAATTTGTGATTTTGCATCCTTGTGTCTTTCAATTACTTTCAACCTTGTGACTCTGTGATCTTAAATCTTTTTGCGGCAAAAAGGGGTTGCGAAGTGCAAAGTTGCGACTTTACAGTAGGCGTCTCTATTAAAAAATACTATATTAATTTAGGTGCATTTTAGACTTATCAATATATATATATAATAATAATTACAGATAAAACTTTTGTATTTTTAAGTTTTTTAAGACATAAGTTCTTACTATATTTTGACAATAAACTTGCTTAATAATTAAGAATATAAAATAAAAAAGAATAAAACAAGGTAACATGTTATTTATTATATTTATATATTTTCAGAAAGTATTTCCATAATGGATTTAGCAGCATCATTGCTAGGATCCAGATTAAAAGATTTTTCAAAATCTGATATAGCATTTTCAATTCTACCCAATTTTTGATATAAAAGCCCACGATTATAAAACGCTTCAGCTTGTTCGAGTTTATCAACCACAAGTTTTGGCTTGAATCCATTCAATGTTGCAAACTCTTCTATTGCTTTCTCATATTCCTCTCTAGCGTAAAAAAGTGAACCGCGTTGCCAATAAAAATAAAGTTCACTAGGATCCAATTCTATTGCTTTATCCAAATCTTTTTGACTTTTTTCATATTCCTTGCATTTCAAGTAAGTTGCACCACGATATCCATGACAATGAGCATCATCAGGATTGTATTTTAATGCTTCATTGAAATCATGTAAAGCCTCTACATAGCTACCAAGCATATATAGGGTTACTCCACGATTATTAAAAACACTATAATCGGTTGGATCTAATTCTAATGATCGGCTCAAGTCAGAAAACGACTCATCAAAATTACCCATCAAATAATAAACTTGACCACGAATTTTTAAATCATCACTGTTTAATTCATCACGCGATAATTTACTATAACTTGCTAGAGATTTTTCAAAGTTATTCATTAAATAATTAACTCTACCACTAATTCTTAAAGTCTCAGTATCATTCTGATTAAATTCTAAAGCTTTATCGCAATCAGTCAACGCATTTTCATCATTACCTAAAAATAAATTAAGCATAGCTCGTAATCTAAAAACACTGAGTTCACCATTTGGATTAGTTTCTAAAAGTTTATTGAAATCATTTAGAGAATCTTCATATTTATCCATAATAAAATAAATATTTCCACGCATCTTCAATGCAGATTCGTTATTTGAATCCATCTCCAAAACCTTATTTAAGTCAACAAGAGATTCATTGAAACGATTGGTAGAGTAATAAACTCCTCCGCGTTGAAGTAATACAATTGAATTATTTGGCTCATGTTCTATTACCGCATTAAAATCTGCAAGTGAATCATCATAACGGTCAAGAATATTATAAATATCTCCTCGAGTAGTTAGTATGGGCAAATTAGCAGTATTTATTTTTAAATTTTTTATAAAATTTGTAAGAGAATCAATATTTTTGTTCGACATGCGTTGTATATATCCATATAAATCCGAAGCGATAGAAAATTTTATATCATACAATAACTTGTTTAATATTGCAAGCAATTTTTCATATTGTTCCAGTGCATGACAAATGTTAACGCATTGTTTTAGCGCAAACTTATTATTTGGCTGTATCTCTAAAGATTTAGTAAAGTCTTTAAGAGATTCATGATAGTTATTGAGTGCATAATAAACTTCACCACGAAGTCTTAGTGTAGGCGCATCGAGTGGATCGATTTTTAGCGCATTATTTAAATCGTCAAACGATTCATGATATTTACCAATTTGTCGAAATACATCAGCACGGACTCTTAAGGCAAGAATGTCATTAGGTTCTATTGATAAAGCTTTATTTAAATCGCAAATTGCAGCCTCATAATTATTCAATATTCGATAAGTATCTCCTCGGTATATTAATGTTATACGATCGTTAGGATTAGATTTCAAAGAGTTGTTAAAATTAATTAATGATCTTTCAAAAATGTTTGAAGTATATTTTTCAGTATCATGAGATAAAGTGTCTTCCTTTTCCAACTTGGCCGCATGAATAAAATCATTTTTAGACTCTTTATATCGATTCATGATCTGAAGTGTCCTTGCGCGACAATTCAATGTAAAAATATCATCAGGCAAGATTTCTAATGATTTATTAAAATCTTCAAGTGCATTTTTATAATTTCCTAATGCATGGTTTGCTCTTCCACGTGAAGTCAAGATTAATGAGTTATTTGGATCAATTTCCAAAGCTGCATTAAAATCAGAAACCGCATCTTCAAATTTATTCATAATAGAATAACTAATTCCTCGTGATAGGAATATTTCTGAATTATTAGGGTCAATCATTAATGCATTATTAAAATCCTTAATTGATTCTTGATTACGGTTCAAAGAAGGATACAATAATCCTCGCAGAACTAAAACGCATACATTATTTGGTTCGACTTTTAAAAAATTATTCAAATCGACTATGGCAAGATCGAATTGTTTCATGCTAATATGAAGGCCTATAATTAAAAGTAAAGCGTTCATATTATTTGGAACAATTTCTAATGCTCTGTTAAAATCATCAATTGCTTTTTCAAATAGTTTGATGCACATATAAATTCTTCCACGATTTATGAGTGCTTGCATGTTGTTTGGATCAATTTCTAATAATTTGCACATATCTAAAAGAGCCTGATCAGTGTTATTATTTAGAATAATATTAATTTCTGTTCGAATCATTAGGGCATCTACATTATTCTTATCAATTTCCAATACTTTATTTAAATCTGCAAGAGCTTGATCGTATTGATAAACTTTTAACGTATCTGTGTTGTTTGACTGACTTTGATTATTCAATAAAATAAAAATGGCAATAGCCCTGATCATTAATGCATCTTTGTTATTCGTATCAATTTTCAATACTTCATTTAAATCTGTGAGGGCATTTTCATATTGATTTAAAACGAATAAAACATTCCCACGAATAATTAATGCATCAATGTTGTTTGAATCAATTTCCAATAATTTATTCAAATCCACAAGAGAATCTTCACTACGATCCATTGCAAAGTAAATAAGAGCTCGACTATATAATGCTTTTGCATTATTAGATTCCACTTTTAATATATCATTATAAATTGTGAGATGGTTTTCGTATGAACCAAAATCTTTCGTTTTTGAATCTTCCAAAGGATCATTTTTTAAATAATTTTTCATCTGCGTAGTTAGGTCTTGGGAATTAACTAACTAAAATATGGCCATGTCAATATGTATTGCGTAGAAATTAAATTCAGTTTATTTATGAACTTTTTGTATTCACCATAACAAATTTTAATTATTTTTTAATGCTTACTTTTGACCAATTGTGAAACGAATGAAGCCAATCCATTGTGTTAAATGACAGACGAAGAAAGCATGTATTTATTGTATGTACGTACGTAAGTACGTACTTATTAAGTGTATCATTACAAGTATACGTAGTAGTAGCACAAATTAATCATCATATATATCGTGTAACTTAGAGTGTACTATATAATGAGGTACGTACGTACGTACGTGCGTAAAATTTTAACGTTCTCAGCTATTTTTTATAGATAATGGATTCTAGGATTCGTGCGGTTCTTTTTATGAATATAATTCGTGAAATGAATACCGTTTTTGAAAATGATAGCAACCTTTATATTAATGCTCAAAAATTTATCCAAGATAACGAGCAACTTTACCCACAAGAAAAACAACAACTATCAACTATCAATGATAATCATGAATTAAATGCTTTGTGCATTCACTGTCAGTCAGAATTGTTTGCGAGCTATTCTTGCGCCAACTGTATTCAACAGTACTTAATAAATAACTTTGTTAATTGGAGCTCTGGCGATAAGATTATTGATACAATGATAAAGTATTTTCAAATTTCATATTCTCACGACCCACCTAAAATTATTGAATGGTTTCCTTATGAAAACTTTGAGCATGTTGTAAAAAAAACAGAAGGTGGGAATGGCGCTATCTATTTTGCTTCCTTGAAAGGCACCATATCTAATTGGGACTACTATAATAAAAAGTTTATAAGAGATAATCAACCCACAAAAGTTGCTTTAAAAAGTCTAATAGCTTCTAATAATGAATATGAAAACTTTCTCAAAGAAGTAAATAAATTATTATAATATTGTAATCGAAAATTTCCAATCATACTAATGGTTTTTTTAAATTTATTTTTAGGTATTAATTCATATCACACTTACAATAGAAGTTAAAAACCTTATTTCATGTTATGGGTTAACTAAAGATCCTGAAAATAGCAAATTTATGATGGTTTTGGAGCGTCAAGATGATGGTGATTTAAAATCCTTTATAAATAACATAGATATTACTCATACTTGGAGGGAAATATTTACCTTGTTAAATGATATTTCTTGCGGACTTTATGAAATACATAACCGTAATATGATTCATAAAGATCTTCATCCTGGTAATATTTTATTCAGTAATGGTGTATGGAAAATTTGTGATTTTGGATTTAGTGAACCCGCTAATAAAAACTCGGAAATTATTGGTGTGTTACCATACATAGCTCCTGAGGTTTTGCTTGAAAAAAATTATACACCAGCCGCTGATATATATAGTATAGGGATAATAATGTGGCAACTTATAACCAAATGCAATCCATATGAAGATGAAAAATATGATAATGAAATCCGACTTGCAATTGATGTTTATAAGGGTCATCGTCCTATTATTAAGTTTGAATTAAATTCTGATTATGAAAAAATGATGAAAATATGTTGGGACTCTAATATTTCTAATAGGCCTAGTGCATCAGAACTTTATAGTTTTTCTAAAGAGAATTTGAAAAAAAATTTTAAAAATGAACTTTTTACTTCAAAATTAAATATTAATTTTGACTTGAAATCTAATCATACATCAAATATCTTTCAAGCTCCTAAAACTATTGACACAGGTATTTTATTTATTTTTATTTTATTTACTGCATATAACAATAGTACTTATATACCTCCGATATTACTTCTGATATGTAGAAAAAATTAAGACTATGATCAAATCTATTAAATATGATAATAATAATGATGACGATGAAGGATTTATTTTGCCACAACATTTAGAGTATGATTAAAATAACTATGCTATTTTAAATTGACAATTCAAATATTTCAACAATAACAAAAAATTAAAATTTAATAAATATGTATATCATTAAAAGTTTTAAAATTCTCAATATAAATAATGACTACCTGAATTAGTGATACGGGCTGGTCCCGGCCCAACTGCCGGGCCGATGGGCGGGTCGACCATCAGCCTGCACCTTTGTGGGCCGGGCCGGTCGATAAAAGAAGAGCTAGAATCGTGACTATAAAAATCAGCTAATCATTAATAAAAATGTGGACATTTATTAGGCTAATTTAGGTGATAAATTAGAAACAACTGTAATATAGGAAATGGAAATGTCTGACATGTCAGGTGCAGGGACAATTAATCAACATAAAATACCAACGTATTAATTATAATTAAAGACAAAAAGAATAAAAACCAAATGATTTTAGTATACTAGAATTTGGCAAGGAACTACCTGGTGGCGATATAGATATTGAGACTAGTTCTTATTAGAAAAATTTATATTAGCAATAAAGTTCGGCCCGGTCGACCGGCCCGAGCTTTTTTTGGATCGACCCATATCACTAATTATGACGCACCACAATCAAATAATATACGATCGTGTGTAATTAAAATAAAAAAAATTTAGCCGTGTTAAAATTTTGAATAATTTTAAAAAAAAATTGATTTAATTACGCCTGATCTTGATGTTTGATTGATAGGTCTATGGTCGTACTACGTTGCTAGGATACTAATTATATTACGTATATACTAGAGTTGGGCAACGAAACGAAACCTACCCGAAACTAGTTTCCGAAAGGTCTTAATCCGAAACTAGTTTCGGATTTTTTAAAAAAATTCGAAACCCCGAAACCCCGAAACTATAATCCGAAACCCCGAAACTATGCAACCAATCAGATTGCAGGATTTGTAATCAAAACAATAACAAAACTTGGATGACAAATATTTTACTGAGTACTAAATTTGCGTACTAAGTAAAAGTTTTCAACACAAAATTTTACATATAATTTATCCAGTTAACTAAATTTTACCTAACTCTAACCCTAAATGTTCGATTTTTAAAAAATTTTAAAATTTTATAATGAATATTTCTAATTTACACCACAGGTGATTATTACCTTCAGGATCAGGTGTAACATGTAAATCAATTTTGTGTAACAAAAACAATGAATTTTTTTAAAAAACTACTATAACTTAAAATTTTGTCTATGAAACCACCTTTTAAGCTCTAATAAAAAAAATTCCTTGGCAAATTTTACTATATATAAAGCTTTACCCTAACCACTAACCCTAACCTCTAACCCTTACCCTACCCTAATCTTAAAGAAATTAATTTTTGTTTTGCTAAAAATTAATTGTTTTTGTTTGTATTGTAGATCACAGGTGATAATCACCTGTGGTGAATATTAGTTAATTTCTTTTATAATAATCGATGTTTAGCTTTAAAATATTTAATAAAAATTTTTATTTTTCAAAAAAGAGTTAATAAATTTGTAACCACGGTTACTGTAACCGCATCCAATAAAGCCAATCAAATTTTAAGATCAGGTGTAACGTGAAATCAAAACAAAAATTGTTTTTTTAAAGAAATCATTAATAACTCGAAATTTTGACTATGAAACAATCTTTTATGGTCTAACAAAAAAAATTCCTTGCTAAATTTTGGTATAAACTGTGCCCTTTACCATTCCTAACCTCACCCTAACCCTAACCTTTAATTGTATTTTTATAAAAAAAGACTTATTTTGATAATTACGTTACATAATTACGGTTACAAATCAATTAATTCTTCAAAAAATGCCTATAAATATTACTTATAAATTATTAAATAGTTTTGATTGTAGAATAAGATTAATTCATTGATATCTATCCTAATGATTTATTCGTTTTTAATATTATTACTAAATATGTACAAAAATCTTTCATGTTTATTAATATGTAAATTTATATCTATACCATATTTATAATCGATTTCCAACTTATACTAAAATTAAATCCCGATATCATTGATGTACAAATACAGTTAGCTGATAATAATTCATTGGAACGAACAAATATTAAGTTTTAACAGTTTCGGGTTTCGGATAGGGTTTCGGGTTTCGGATAAGGTTTCGGGGTTTCGGATGGGGTTTCGGAAACTATAATCCGAAACCCGAAACTTTCGGATTTGGCAAAAAAGGTTTCGGTGCCCAACTCTAGTATATACATATACTGTATTTAACAAATTAATATATTTAAAATATTTAAATCACCGATTAGGGAAAAGGATTTAATATCTAGTATTATCATAATTAAGTTATTATAAATTATATTGTTATTGATTTATTTATAATCTAAAGCAGACAAATTTTATAAATAAATAATAGCTACAAATGAATGGATGCATAATTCTGAAATTGAAGATAATTTGAAAAAAATATTAATGGAAAATAAATATCAGTTATCTTGGATTCCTTATGAAGAATTTGAAGAAATTGAAGAGATAGGTGAAGGTGGATTTGCAACTGTATATTGTGCCACGTGGGATGATATGAGTCAACGTTTACGCAGAGTTGTTGCGCTTAAGTTGCTCCATGAATCCAATAATTATTATGATGAATTTATAAAAGAGGTAATCTTTATTAAACATTTTTATCAATCACTGTATAATATTCGTAATTTATTATTTATATTAATAATTTGAATGATAATAATAAGTTAAAAGCATATTGTGATATCGGACTCAAAGATCCAACATTTTTAAAATGTTTCGGTATATCAAGAGATGAAGCTGGAAATTATATTCTTGTAATGCATTATGCTTCAGAAGGTAGTTTGCGCGAAAATCTACATGCTATGGCACAAATGGATTGGAAAGATAAATTAAATCTGCTGCAATGTATTTCATCAGATCTTCAGATAATTCATTTTCATGATCTTATTCATCGGGATTTGCATAGTGGAAATATACTACAAAACGACTTTAAGAGAGCATATATCGCAGATTTAGGACTTTCGATAATATATAGTCATTGCATACTTCGTATGCAATAACTGCTGTATTTTATGGACGATGATGATTGGTTGGTAACCCAGCCGGTACGGCTG